CTGTCTAAATAAACAAATTAACATATAGCATGTCTATTTCAGTGAATTATGAAAAAGTGAACGTTTTAATCAAAAATGTATCATCAGTATTTTATTTCCAGTACAAAGAAAAGTAACATACAATTGTCATCATTTCTTGAGTTGAATCCTGATATTTATTGGCCTAGATTGGCAAAACCATTGAATCTGCCACTGGAATGAAGTGGAATGTTGGCAAATATGGCAGAATAAGATGTGAAATTATGAGTAATTTGAATAGTGCTGTGCAGAAATTACAGAAAATTATTTGATGTCAGTGATAGTCTTTCAAACCTTGTCATAAGTTGATTATGCAGATTATGCAATGTAAAGAGAATTTATCATTCAAATACTGTCGAGGGTGGGTGCCAGTCCTCGGCTTGTTTTTTATATTACTTTTTTCCCCCATGGACTTAATCAAACAGACAAGGTAGTACATGTAATTAGATAGCTTAACACAAACGAACAAACTATTTTCTTGACTAGCAGCTGGTTTTGAATATATATAATTTTACACAGATACCTTAAGTAATAGAATTTTGATATACTCTTGTTTCTTGTGCTTTTAAATGTAATACCACTGTTGTAGTATTGCTCTGTATACACAACAGTGAAGTAGAGTGTATGACATAGTAAATAATTTTTTGTACCAAAATTACCATCATGATGTTATGTCTCCCCCACAATGTAGCTAGTCTCCTCTTGGTAATGGTGTGCTCGGAAACTTTGCATTCAGTGTATATGAAGCTTGGTCAAGAATCTCTAGGCAGTTTTTAAGTTGTTTATATCTACAACAGTAGTACTGATTATAATTCTACACATATTATCAACTTGTGGGTTGAGAAAATCACAATGGTTGATACCGGGGTATAGTCGTACCTGTATTTACATTATTGATTTTGTTTTTAGTGGACTTGCTCCAACTTCCCTACACTGTTAAAAAAAAAAAACATGCAGAACAAGGAACCCCTTCCCCTTCAGTAAAATCAGCGAGGTCAAAACGATCTTGGTGTTGTACAAAATGTGTGGTATGAATTGTTAGAGCTCATGATTGTAAATATTTTCAAAATTGTAAAATCACTAATATTAAAATAATAATAAATGTAACAATTGTGTGATTTCAATTAATTTCAGTGGTATATATATTCTTCCAATCACCATGGCAACCATACCATACAGTTGAATAACAAACATTGGTATAAAGGAATTATAAGAGACCTTAAAGATGTAGTAATGGTTTCCAGGAAGTGAAATTCACACTTTATTTTCATAGAAAAAATGTTTTAAACCATGTCAATCTTTATTTTATAAAAACTTGTGAATCACACTAATTAAAAATAAATGTTATGTTAGATGCAAATTCACATGGTCACATGACTGCTAAGTAAGTAATCCTTTTTTGAAGATTCAAATGAGTACTGTGGGGAAATTCATTCATCAAAACAATGTGGCTTGTTAATTTTGACCAGTTTTAGGAATCTTCAATTTATGATAGACTCTGAAATTTTCATAAAATAGATATACTAATAGATGCAATAAAACTCTTAAGATAGAAGCCTACTCATAATTTTTGAGAAAGTTGTTAATAAATCGCATCATGACAATGTTCATTTCTTTGTGTGAAATAATGAAGCTATTGTCAAATGCACCATGAAATAGCATCTTTTGTGTGTTCCAGTGGCGTTTTTTGAAAAAACTTGCCATTTTTAGAACTATTCCATAGAGCACAAAATTAAAGAAAAATTGCATTCTTGACACTTTAAAACCCAGATTTTTTAAATAATTGAGAACAACAAAAAGTACCCCATCATTCACAATATATTTTTTTTTTATTATTTATGCCTATCGTCCCTCCTGGGACATAGGCAACCAACAAGATTTCTTCAATCAGGCCGGTCCTGTACCAGGCGCTCCATTTTCTTCCAGGTATAGCCCAACCTCCGGACATCAGCCTCTAGGTCCCGTCGCCAGGTATTTCTTGGACGGCCCTGTTTCCTTTTGCCCTGTGGGTTCCAGGTGAGTGCCGACCTTGTGATGTTTTAGGTTGGTTTTTGATGGGCGTGTCTTAGCCATCGCCAGCGTCTCTGTATTATTCCCTGTTCTATGGGCTGCTGGCTTGTTCTTTCCCATAACTCCTGGTTTGTGATCACATCTGGATACCATATATTGATATTCTTCGTAAGCAAGAGTTTATAAATGTCTGGATTCTTCTGGTGATGATTTCGGTGGTTCTCCATGTTTCCGCCCCATACAGAAATACCGGTTTAATGATTGTGTTGAAGACCGTAATCTTTGTTCTGAGAGATATGATTGACGAATGCCATACGTTCGAAAGCTGGTTGAAGGCTGCCCTCGCTTTGTCACCAGCTTACAAAATGACCACTATCCACTAAAATACAACCATCATTTTCTTGACAATTAAGCTAGTGCCCCAACATTTTTAAAGTCAATATCTTTATAACGTCCAGAAGTACAATTAATTGGAAAATGAATAAATTCTGGGTATTTCAAATGAGTAGGCTTCTACCTTAGTACAATGGACAATTCTAACTTGCATAAAAACCCAAAGTTACCCAGTACGGATAAATTATTTTGTTTTATAATATAGTGAATATACATCAATTCTGTCTTACACTGTGTATGTGTCTAATGGTCGTGTACAATAATACTGGATGTTTTAGTTTAGTAAAACGCCCTCATTGTTTAAAATGTACAATTCTTTCGTGTATTGTAATGTAACGCCGACATGGTATATAAACAGGCACGGGTGGAGTCTTCAAATGAAGGGGTAGACAAGATAATAGTACTGGAAATAAAATACACACACACAAAAATATAAAGTTAAAGCCCCTGACCTTAATACTTTAATTACAAGAAACAAAACACAGAATTATAATACAATGAATAACTACACTAATAGAGGATTGTCTAGGGAAGTGTGCATTGGTGATAACTCAGTTTCAGGATTTGAAAATTGATAACAGTCGATGGCTTCTGCAACACAACAACAACTTGCTTGTCTTGTTTGCAGAGGAACGCTGTTATTCTGACACCGATGATAGCAGGAGATCGCAGAGCAGTTCATGCAAGTCTCACAGAATGATGATTGAAGCCTGTATCACTTGTCTCACAATATCAAACACACAAAGAACTCAGTTGAAATGGTGATACACCACCTGGGTTTCCACAGGATCCAATCAAAATGTGGTCTTGCTAGCAGTTATCTCACGATGACATACAGACACTCAGGTAGGCAAGTCAGTAGATCGGAAACATCCTATGTTATGTACACAAGCACACCTGGTGGATTCCAATTGTCTTTCAGAGTTGTAAACAAGTATGTCCTGTCAATCACCTTTATGCC